AGTCAAAAGCAAACGTAAAATATAATAATTTTTCCAATGAGAAAAAAGTGATAGATAACAAATTTAAGAGTGGAAAGTTTTCAAATGTACTTAGTGTGACAGACTTTCTAACTTCATCTCAAATGTCAAAACAGTGCATATTCTGTTCTAATTCACATTATTCTGGAGATTGTCTAAAAGCAAGTCTTTAATGCAGAGGGAGTCACTTGTTCAACAATCTCGCAAATGCTTTTTTATGTTTAAAATCTAGACATTCAGTCAGGGACTATAACTTGAAAGCTGGTTGCTTGTGTTGTGGTAAAAACACCACATTCTTCTATGTAGAAAAATGAACCAAATAACTTTGCCCAAAAATGAAGAATCCCCCGAAGCTAAAAAGAAACTGAGATTAGTGCTGAAGCTGATCAAGCTCTTTCCAACTTATCTTCTACTCCAGACGTAATGTGGCAACCATCCAGTTATAATTAGAGGTAATGGGAAAAAATGTGTCACAAGAGCTATTATTGATACAGCTTCACAGCAATTGAATTTCTTTTGAAATACAGCTCAAGAAATGAAATATGAACCTCAGAATTGTGAATATTTGCAATACTTTTAATTGGGGAGGGGTTCAGGGGTATGCAAACACAACATATACACTTTGTATTTATCAAGGGTACATGGAAATTATAATTGTAACTTTAATGTTCTTAGTCAACAAATTACTTGTAAGTCAATGCCCCCTACTGTCAACAAACTTTGTCCAAGAGTTAGCTTTTTATAATATAAATCTTGTGGATGATTGTGAAGATCCTATTGAAATCCTTATTGGGGCTGATGTTCCTGGAAAACTCATGACAGCTGGTCATCGTGAGATAGATACCTTGTGGTCTCGTAGCCATCGAAACGAAACTTGGATCGTCAGTTATGGGAAAAATGTCCAATACTTCAAGAAGCGAGTGTACATCACCATTATTAGTTATGTCCCTGTTGTCTACAGTAAAGACAATATCAGATTTATGGACCTTGGGCACACTTGGCATTACTTACTCATCAGTCAAGAAAAGCCAGACTGAATTGCAAGAAGCTGCTCAATTACATTTCCTAAATACAGTCCACGTAGATGATCATTTTGAGGTTGATTTGCCCTGGTTGGAAGATCATCCACTACTGCCACATTATTTTGATTTAGCCAAGAGGAGATTGAACAAAACTGTTAAACATCTCAAAACTGAGTACAATTATGAAGCTTATGAAAATGTTTTTAAGGAATGACTAGAAGAGGGAGTAATTGAAGAGGTTGCAAAAAATGATCATGTTCAAGTTCTTTACCTTTCTCATCAAGAAGTTATCAAAGAGAATAGTACTACAAAACTCGGCCAAAGTAAAGGGGTTTCCTAGTCTTAATGACTGCTTAGAAAAAAGTCAAAATCTAATAGAGCAGATTCCGAGAATTTAAACACAATTTCAAAATGAAGAGATAGGTGTTAATTGCTGATATATAAAGATCCTTTCTATAAGTGTTTCACCCATTAATAGAAATTTTTTTAAGATTCTTACAGCTTGATAGTGATGGTCAGCAGAAAGAGTACAGGCACTATCATGTAGTTTTTGATGTAGCAAGCAGCCCTTTTCTATTAAACTCTACTATACAGTTTCTCTTACAAATTGTTTTTGAGAAAACAGAAACTGGTGAATCCTCATATCCAAAAAGTAACATTCAAAACCTTATGCATGGTGTCTATGTTGACAACTGTGTCAGTTGTGTCAAAAATGAAAACAAACTCAATCTTTTTATGAATGTATCAACTGAAGTAATTGCTGAGAGAAAACTGAGCTTCGAGGGTGGGAGTTCAATGACATTAATGATGATGCTTCTGCTGATACGAATGTGCTCGGTTTAATTTGGAATAAACAATCTGACACTCTACAAATAAATACTGGTAGCTTGGAAAAGTAATTAAGCAGTTAATCTTATCTATAGCTAATAGATTGTTTGATCTTCTTGATATATGTTGTCCTGCTATCCTTATCCCTAATATATTGCTTCAAGAAACGTGAAAGCAGAAGATAACATGGGATGAAGAAGTTGATTTCTGTACGAGAAGTGCATTTTTAAAATGGCTGAAAGACACGGACTGTTTAGAAAAGGTTCATTTTCCCAGACATTTTGGTTCAAGGTCTACAAGTGAAAATACTTCAGTATATATTTTCTGTGATGTCAGTAAGCATGCTTAGACTGTGGACGCTTTCATTCTAATTAAAACTTTTGATTCTGTAAGTTAGACGTGCAGTTAGTTGCATAGGCAGCACCATTCGTCGATTCAATTAGTGTACTTTAGTGTGCACACTTACCTTTTGGGAGGACACATAAGAATTTTAAATGCCAGCTGTTCTTCCATCCAATGAGATTGTCAAAGGATTGTACCCACTTGAAGTATCCAATGATGATCCCATTACTGAAAACTCTTCAACTGAGAAGGTAGGAGACAAAACTTGCGAGAATTTTGCCTCTAATTACGTACGTGTAACTGAACCCCAGATTAAAAAAAACTAGAGCAGGTCGTATAATCAAAGTACCTCAGAGACTAATGAACTATTTAGAATTTTCTTTCATAAGTTAAATGTGTAAGATAAAAAGTTAACTTAAATGGGAGGATGTTAAGTTGAACCTCTATCTAATATTATTTTTGTCTGATACAATTTAGAAAATTATATATGGCAACAGTGGAGGTTGTTTACATTTTTGGTTTTCAGCTCATTCTTTTCATGACAAAAGGAGAAAAATGGCTTTGAGTTGCATTTCATGTGTATTTGACAATTAACCCTCTAAGCGGCAAGGCCGTATATACACGGCCTAGAATATTTATTGCGATATCTGCAAGAATGTATATATATGTGCGTATTAAAATATGTCAACGAAATTAAGGCAATATATCAAAAGAAAACAAATCCAGGTATGAAATAGCAGGAGAGTTTTTGCATTAAAATCAAAAAAATTATTTGTTCTCATAGTAGTTTTGGGAGATTTGTGCTTTCTTAGCAAAAACCCTGGCCGCCCAGAAGGTTAATGAGTATTATCTTACGCCATTTATATTTTGGAGTGTTGTTTTGAGATGCTGAAACTAGAGTTGTCACTTATTAGATCTGTAAATGCACTGTTTGTGTTAGCAACAGATGTTTTACTGAATAACTGATTACACTCATTTCCATTACTAATTCTTCTGATGTTTGAAGGCAAAACGAGACACTAACCAAATACACATTAAAAGAAAAAAAACTAGAAAATGTACATGCCACTAACTTTGTCAAAATTGTGAATAATCAGTACATAACGAGTATCCATAATTATATGTGATTGCCAAACTAGTCTCAACATTTCATGTTCACAGCTATTTCAATTTCATATCATTTTTCCCTTTTTTACTTCCCAGTTCATTTATTTTTAAGAATATTTTTACATTCAAAATTACACACACAAAGAAAAGCACACAGACATTCAAATGCCAGGTTATTTAATAATTAATTCAGCACAAAAAGCAGAATGGCATATTTATAAAACCATATAATACATTAAATTGTTCAAGTAGCAAAGATTTAGAGAAATTCCAACCTATTTTAATTACAACCAACAAAAGATGCATTACAATTCAAGAAAAGAGTACCTGAACAGTTAACAATTTATGTAAACTAATGTCAGTGTTCTTGGATGTTTACTTCAGTAGAACTATGATTTCTGTAATCCTTTGTTGATTGAAAATTTGAAAAAAAAAAAAAAAACTGTAGTTCAGAACAAGCAGAAGCTACAGTGTAAAGGCAGTAACTCATATGGATTCGAAAATTTTCGTTTAATTCTTTGCCCATCCAAATAATGCAAAAACAATCTATTAAAACATTTCTAGTACACAGAATAAGCAAATGTGCATTAATTTCTTTTAAAAAGATCACATAATACAAATTAGCTTTTAAATACATTTATAAATCATGTCTTTCCCTATAGTAATGAAAATTAAATTTATCGAAAGGCCCAAAGATACAAACTGTGCAAATTCTCCAAGGAAAGCCTACAACCACTCCATTATCGAAATTCAATCTAGTTTTTAGCCATGGGTAATGTTTAAATGATTTTTGTTAATAGCTTTTTCATAAATACAGCAAAATTTCAATCTTTGCCCCACTGGATTGAACAGAGTAAGGAAAATTTAAATAAAAAGAAAAAAAAGATAAATATGGCTCCTGGCCACTTGGCCTCTACCCTGGGCATTAGATCAAAGTGAACAGTGACTAATTTCTATGCAATTTATGCCAGCAGTGAAAGCACACATTTTACTTAGTTTAAGATATTTTAATACATAGATTTAATTCCTTACAAAGTTTAGCTTGGCCATTAATCTTACCATAAATGCAAAGAAGTATAAATTGTCTTTTAGGTACTGATTTGCAATTTGCATTCAGACAAACTGTGTGAGAAAATAAAACAAAAAATAAAAAGCAAGAAATAATCAAAAAAGACATCTTTGTCCGAAAAAGATTTTTAAAGATGCATTGAATTCTCAGTATGCAACAATTGTCAAGTTATTTATGAAATATGTTTAAAAGCATAAATAAAACAAGCTGATCAAGGAAAATAATTTTAGTATTTCATACATACTAAGAACTCTAGATTTGATTTTCAATGAATAAATGTGAGTATGTGTGGTTATTAAATTAATAATAAATTAAAAACTATGATATAATTTATCTTTAATTATGAGCAGTGCTTATTTGAAGCCAATTCAAGAAAAAACATATTTCAAAATAATTGCCTATTTATAAAATGTTATATAACATTAAAAAAAATCCAGCGCATAAACTTTAAATTTTTACATTACAGAATAAAATATTACTTGAGGGTTGAAAAATGACCCCAGTAGCATAAAACAGCAGTTAAATGGGAAAAGGTTATTTAATGCACAAAAGAAAAAAAAAAAATCTATATCTACCATACAAAAAATCTTAAACAAATATGAAAATTCACAAACCTGCAAAAAGCCACTCAGCTGAGAAATTAAATTTCTAAAGACATAATCTTTTTTGTAAGAATCAAACCACCCAATTTTGGTTATTCTGGCAAAAAGTAGTACCAATGCCTGAGTTACAAAAGATGCCATTTTCGGACAGGTTGCCAAGTAAGTCAACACGTAATTTCCTGAAAACAAGCATTTATACATTAAAATATGATAAGAAATGCTTTATTTTCCCCAGAAAGCTACATAAATGATGGAATATTTAATAAGCTTGTTTGTTACTTCATTAAAATAGCAAACAACTAGATTGGTACAATAAAACTTTCTACTCCATATCAAAAATTTATACAGAATATAGGAACACTTTTAACTTCTGATTTAAAAAAAAAATTCACAGAATGTTACATATAAATTGTGCAAAAAAATTTCAGATGTAAAGCAAAAGGTATAAAATTTTAATCTACTAAAATAAATAAATATAAAATCAATCTTCATATCCAAAATAATTTCAATGTTGATTTTGCAAATTCCGATTTTGCTCCATATGTTAAAAAATAACAAAAATTTAGAAAACTAAATGTTTCAACTTGGAAATATAAAGAAACAAAACAAATACCTATTCTAAAATCCTGATTTTATTTACATTCACTTAAAATATTTAGGAAACATCTAATGATATTTACATATGTACTTACTTATATCAATTCTTTGTTGCAAGGTAAGAGTTTGAGGATTTCTTGAAACTAGTTTTGTTAAGGTAGTTGCAGCCAACAGCTGAGCATATGAAGACTAAAAGCATAAAAACATTAAGAATTATTTAGCTCACAAATATTCAATTTAATAAAAACTGTGAACCAATTAATCATAAAGACAATGACTTATCACATTTAGGAGGATATACAACCTTTAATTAAAAAACTTTTTTATTCAGCACTAGTGAAAATACATGATTACCATTATAAGATTAAACATTAAAACTGCTTTTTTTAATATAAAAGAAATGCTTCAATAGAGGTTAATGAGTTTAGCATTATGTTTATTTATATATTATTATATTTTAAAAGAAAGGTATTAGAGCTATCTTTAATCTCTCTCACTTCAAGTAGTCTAATACAGTAACCACTTATTCAAAATTTTATACAGTACAAGCTCGTGGATTTCTTCCACAACCACATGCACGAATAGGTAGCACAAAATGTCATCTTTTGGTTTATAATGGAAATTTCAGGATAAAATGCAGCACTTCATCAATATCAACATTTTTGTGGTGCAATTCCACCTGTACAATGCATAACCTTGCTTTTTGTCTATTTTGGGCAATAAAATTTCAATAACACTTGTGCAACGTCTAAGTTAATTTCTCAAAATTGGTGGCTTCATGTATTTTGGTATTTTGTTGACATGATAGTTACAAATTCATATATCTTGTTCACTATGAGGATTGAAAACCAATGCATACAACTGAAAGGTTTTCAAATTTCTGTAGCAAGAGGAATACCAGCATTGTGAAAACATGGACAAAAAAAGAAGACAACACATATACCAGAAAATACAGATATTTTGTTCCATACTGGATTTGCCAACAACCAACATATGGGACTTCTCTGCGATATGGTTTAACGCAGTACAAAAGAACCCCCAGCACAAAATGACAGTGTGCAGTTTGCAAGGCTGAACTCGTCCTGAACGATAATTACCATTTTCTACAATCATCAAAAATATATCAAGATGTATAGTCCTAGTGGTACTGCAGTGTAACTACCATATTTTCTACAATGATTTTTAAAAATTTAATAAAAACTTTGTTGTTTATATTAATCATTACTAATATGTAAACAAATAAACTTTTTTACAGATTACTTTTTTGGGGAGCCAAAGAATAAATACAACTGCAGCTTTACTTAATTTTATCATTCTGAGCGGTGACAGCAAACGTATCGTATGTACTGTGGTTTCTCTCTGATCTCGCGATTTTATCTGTCCCAGTTCCGTAGGGGAACAGCAAACGTATCATACGTACTGCGGTTTTTCTCTCACCTCGTGATTTTATCTGTCCCAGTTCCGTAGGAGGACAGAGCTTTTACGTGTTTACTGATTAGTTACATTCGGGTAAAATGTTCTTATTTAGGACACCACGAGATTCCTCTGATGAAGACGACGAGTTCAGCGAGCGAGACCGGTAGGGTCAGTTCAATCGAATAGGACTTTCCCGTTAAAGAAGGAAGATTTTCTAAAGGAGAATGAAAAGAAGAAAAAGAAATCTAAGAAAGCTAGGACAACTTCCGATTCGGAAACAACCAAGAACCCTGTGAAGAAAGCTGACACCAAGACTACTACTCAGAACAAATCAAGGAATATGATTGAAACTCCAATGGACGAAGGTAACAAAGTGCTTACTGAAGAAGATAACGTAAAATACATCCAGCAGCTCTTTGAAACACGTGGTACGAATAATGTTCCGAGACACATAATGCCCGTGAATTTTGGTAAAGGTAGCAGTGACATACCCCAAAGCCAAGGAAACTCTGACGAAGTTAATAAAATGCCGGAAAAAAAGATAAGTGACCAAGACACTGAAGCCGACAAAGAAGAAAAGTGGATTACTCTGAGGAAAACAGCCAGAAACAATGTAATTGAAGAACCGATGGAGATAGCAAAGGAAAACAGATTCCAAGCCCTGGATACATCTATTAATAATGAAGGAGTTGATAAAGACAAAATGTCACCCCCAATTGTCTTCCAGCAGAGCGCTGTGGATTGACCTGAAATTCATGAAATCCTACTCAACACCTGCAGCGATGAGTTTGAAGCAGAGATGAAGACGAAATTGTTATACGTTAACATAAAATCCGTGGATGATTATAAGAAAGCTACTTTAGTCCTACAAAAAAGAATTATACCATTTAATACCTTCCACTTGCTCAGTGAGAAATCAATTAAGGTAGTACTCAAAGGTTTGCCATCGACGATGAAAGAAGAAGTAATACAGGCTGATCTGGAAAGAAGAAAATTTCTGATAAGCAAAGTTAAACAGTTTACCAGGCGCAGAGGGGATATCCTGGAGAAACTCCCGATACACTTACTAAAACTGAAGAAAACAAAAAAAGGACTTAACAACATGCTGAGCGTTAATGTAAAGATCGAGAAGTTTGTCCCGAAAAGACAAGTGATCCAGTGCTACAGATGTCAGGAGTACGGACATTCGCATCTCTGCTCAAATCCCGAGCAATGCTGCAAGTGTGGACAACAGCACAGGAGTAAGGAATGTCGACTGAAGCTGGACGAAAAACCTAAGTGTATTTTCTGTTCACAATCGCATGCGAGTTCTCATAGGGGTTGCCCTGTTTACAAGAAAAGATACGAGGCAAAGAAGCAGCAGACTAAGCCAGCAGTTAAGATCCCGACATCAGCGGATTTCCCGACATTTATAAAAGCGGAGCTAAGTAGCAACAAAAACTAGACGAAATCCCTCTACAGCAAAAAAGTGAAAAGGAAATTGGAACCCCCACCGAAGGATTACAAGGAGGCCTTTGACAGGATACAAGATCCAAAAATCAATGGATTTTTGTGCAGTACAATCGAACATGTCGAGAAGATTCAGGCTGCAAAACCTACGGCTGAGAAGTTTGCTGCCGGGTTCAAAGCAGCCATAACACTTACGAGATTTGCAGAAAGCGAGGAATAATCCCTAGTGCAGAAGCAACAGAGGAAATTTCATGAACTTTAATCGTTTCTTATTTTTTGAATACACAGATTCCCTTGTTTCCAGAAGCAGCTCTCGGGATCAGTAGTTGGATGGGTGACCACCTACGTGACTGGCCTCGACAAATCAACTTTCTTCTACTTGTGAAGGAACCTCCCAGTTCGTACGGCGGCCAATGAAGTGATACCTGCACTATCAGATGTTTGGACCCCCCCCCAATTACCAAATTCTCATTTTATGTACCAAGTGTACTTGTCTCAGCTTCGCCTATTGGTGTGGTGTTTCACCTTTTTTACTTTTAATCACCCCCCCCAACGCCTTAGGGCATTTTTTCAAAACGGTGGTCAAAGCAGTGGAGGTGCTAAATGCCACCTAGCCACTCAACTGTTCTGTTGTGTTCTTACTTAATTTTTGATAAACTGCAATTTCTGCAACCAAAACTGCATTAAAAAGGATTGCTCCTAATAGTATTTATTAAATAAAAATTTGAAACACCATACCTAAATGTCTACTAATTTGTTGACATATCAAATGCTAGATAGTGAAGAGGGAAATGTACACATACATTAAGAAATATATTATGATGATGGAAAAGCTTGATAACAGATAATCCTTATATTTAGAAAGTCTTTTGACAAGGCAATCAAGAATGGTTCAAAATGCTTTTCGTGTGGCATCTCTTTCAGCATGAAATAGTTATCAAAATTCCTACAATAAAACATGCAAAAATGCCACATCCACTGATTCAAAAATGACCCTGTTTAATCAAAGTAGTTTCAAATCTTCTTCATCCACAATCACAGTTTTGTCCATAGTCATTCATGCTTTCTTATAAGCTTTATATTCTAATGACACAGCTTTAATATTTTTGAAACACACTTTTTTTTGGGGGGGGGGGAATTTTCCTATAATTAAAGGAGTCATCTTTTCCATACCATTAGAACTTGCACAAAGTAAAACTGGGAAATGTTCCTTACTTTACCTTTCAGCTCCATGACAGTACTCACATTTGAAAGCTAGTGTTCCCACGGGCATAAGTTTAAAGACAAGAGCAGTTTCATCAAAATTAAAAATGTCTTTCAATTTATATCCATCTATGTTGGTAGATAAGTTCTTGAAACACTCTTCAACCAAGCCAGAAAGAATGCTTTTTGATTTAAATTTATGCAGCCATCCACAGTTGAAAAATAAGCCTTATTTCCCATTCAGCTGAAGTGCTATTTCTTTTGACTTCTGAATTAATATGGGGCCATTCATTGGAATATTGGATGCATGACACAGAATGAAAAATTTTAGCAAGGTGGTTTAGATCTCAGGAAACTTTCCCTCTTGTATATACAATATCTTTGAAGCGAACTGTCTGATATTTCTTCAACTTTTGTTTTATCATAAACATTATCATAAACAATCATTTTTAGTGTTGTCACAGAAATATCCAGTTTCTTTGCTAACTCAACTTTCGTCAAACCAGCATTCTTATCACATTCTTTTTGATATTTTAACTTTATCTTTTAATGGTAGTGCCTTTTGCTTTCGTGACATTTTGTATCAGTTACTTACTGTCTTGTATGCTTAACACAGCATCCTGTTAAGAAGGAATCAAGTTTTACCTTCCAAGTATCTCCTCTATTCATAAACTTATCTTTCAAATCTTGTACTAGACTATGAAAACTCATGCCTTTGTTTCTTTCTCTTATCCCTATTTCTGAGAAAAATATTCAAAAGGTGAGGCTGCGAAATGTAAGAACAATTCAGTAAGTCAAACAAAACTGACGTATATCCGAAGTTTTACAACATATAAAAGAAATATTTTACTATTAAAATAAATAGGATTGAATTAGGACCATACAAACAACATATAAATGAAAGAGATGTATATAAATGAGAGTCATATAAAGAGTGCTCCACTGTATATATATTTACATATGAGAGAGAAGTAAATTTTAAATAAAGTGCCAAACGAAATTTCATATGATATTTTTTCCTTATAAATATGCAAGTTTATATTGGTGTATATTTCATTATTACTCAAGAAATGATAACTAGTTATCTGGACAGCAACACAAATTTCTCTGCAAAGCTAGCAAGAGCTTTGGCATTCAGAATAGCAATATAATTGAAAATACAGTCTTTGGTCAAAGAAAGAGCAGAACAACATTTGTAGGACCGTGAAAACTCCATCCCAGATAAAAATAATCTGTAACTTATCAAAATTTATACCGATATCAGTATGTTTAAATATATGTGGCTAAATAATGCCATTTATGCTAAGCCAGCAAGAATTATATGATCTGACACTGAAGAAGTAAGACTCAGTTCATTAATTAATCAACACTATCCATACTAAAGAAATTATTCCAGAAGACCAACAGGTAATTTTTAGACACACAGTGCTTCAAGCTAAAATTGAGAAATGTGTCCTCAGCAGATTTGCAATAATTCAAGATTTGTGTCAGATGGTTGCCAAGAGAATTAATTGATCAAAGTTTCATGAACCCATTTAGTGGTCCTACAGCATTATGCTGATGACAAGCAAGATTTTTTCATGCTGTAACTAAGCACAATTAATTAAGACACCATAACACGCCGAATAAATACTAATTCAGAAGTCAAACAACAAAAATCAGCATTATATTTTCAAAATTTTCACAGGACTAGTTTCGATGGTTTTACTGAGGTGATGGTGGTTCAGTAAAACCATCGAAACTAGTCCTGTGAATATAACGCTGATTTTTGTTGTTTGACTTCTGAATTAGTAAGCACAATTAGTTTTAAAAACATGAGATCTTAAACACAAGTCCTAGTTCTACTTTAATTTTTAGATCACCAACTATGCCAGTCATCATATCAAAGGATGTGAAAAAAATATTCTGTGCTAATTTGTAGTAGCTGAATAACAAAGTAAAAATATTTCTAAAAGCAACATCTCTTATTTTTAGAATAAATAATATATATAAGTATATTGAATCATAGTTCCTATAAATTAGTTCTACAGCTTCTACATTAGAATAACTTTCAAGTTAAAAGGCAGATTTCCAGGATGTACATTTTTCACTTAAGGGGGAAAAAATAGCGAGATTTCCTTTATGATTAAGTTAAATAATGAAGAAAAATGTCTCAACCCCACATTCTAAGTGAAGTTAACATGTTGACTGCCACACACATTTTACGTGGTTTGCCCATGATGCCAATTTGAAATTTTTTATTATGTGATGTATATTATGTTAAAATATTATCTACAGAAGATAATGTGAGTTATATAATTGTGCTTAATGCATTTTTCGTGGTGGGGGTCACCCCCAAGGTACTGTAGACCATTACTGTAATTTATAATTTAAATTTTTATGATTTACTATTCTTCAAACCATTATAGTAACAATGGTACTATTTAAAAATTTGTCAGTATCAATATTTACTCTAATTATGTATTTTACTATTGGTTGCATCACCGGTGGCACCCACAGCACTGTAGCCAAGTCGAGTGCCGGTCACCAGTGACCCCCATGGCAGTCAAAGTGTTAAACAGCATTATCCTTAAATTAGGCAGTTCCTCAACCACTCATTCAAAGTGAGAGCAATGTAACATCAAACAGCCATTATCCCTAAATTTAGGCAATCTAACTATATATCCCCACTATTTTGATTTATGAATTAATGCATAAGATCTGAGGGAAAATCTCAACGAAACATTAACAATCATTTTATATCAACAAAGCAGATTAAATTACATTACAAATCAATGAATGCTTCATTAAATCATGCACACTAATGAAACAGATTACTAATCATTTGCAAGTCAGCCCAACACTATTATCTAGAATTTGCCTTGCAAGATATCTTCAAATGCTGGTGAAGAAGACGTATTAGTTAACCACTAGTTTTAAGTATTTAGCATTTACAAATGCTACACATAATACTGGATATCCTTTTAAAAAGAATATGAATTGAAAGCTGTTAAATATTATAAGCAACTCTTGAGCTAAAAGAATAAGAAACTACAAAACCTAAAAATAATTTTTAATTTTCATACATCTCCTCTTTCAAGCAAAAGACGACATGTTGGTAAGCAATCTGGTGCATGAACAAAATTAACTAAAGCTTTTTCTGCAGTTGCTCTTTCTTCAGGGTTACTTGCATCATAAAGTTGCTTACAGAGTATTTCGAGCTGAGCCAACTCCTGTAAACAATGAAAAAAGGATAAATGTTATTTTTATTTCATATCATTAGTTTATAGCATGCTCACAACAAATAAACTGCCTACAAAAAGTTTATCAAAGGTTTTATAAGAAACGAAAATCAGATATACAGTCAAAAGTCGTTAATTTGGACACCCATAATCCGGAATGATCTATAATTCGGACCTCAAAGCTACAAACTTTCTGCACATAGGTGTTTAAGCGTGCACGTAAGACCTTTACGGCTGTGAATATGCGTGTGCACATGTGCATAATACGTTTACGTAAGCGCATTTAATGTATAACGGACGGTATAAGCTAAGGTAAAATTATCTAATTCAGTTAATGTTGCAGATTGCGTTGTTCCTTAATCTTCGAATTGAATCCAGCTTATTATTTTTTGTAGACTGTTAGAGCAATTTTATAAAAGTAAGCTTGAACTTTCGATTATTTCAAATAGAATTTCCGATATATATTTAACTAATGTGTAAAGGATCTACAAAGCGAAAGTATGTTTCGAAGTCCATTAAGCAAAAAGTGGAATTGCTGCAAAAAAATGGATAAAGGCATATTCCTTTGTTTCTTAACCATTCCGAAATCTGTTTATCAATTTCACGCTGCTCTCTGGGGGGGGGGGGACATCGTGGCGCGCAATGAACTAGAAGTTGATCTGTCAGCACTATGATATCTTCAGGGCAGATGTTTTTATTTTATTCAGTTTAAAATTCTGTACTAAATGTAGTATTTCATCTCGATGTATTCTGTCTTTGATATGATTTAAATCAAATTCCTCGTCATTATAAATATCACGAGTACACATCAAATACTTTTCTGGTTGCAATTTTCTAATTTCGACTATGCGTAATGTATGCTTTATGCATGCGCGCGTTGAAAGAAATGTTTAATAAAGTAAACAAATAAATATTAAGCTTTTTTTTGTAAATTTTGATACCCTTTAGATCATAATTGTTCTTTATTTCAGAAATTACGGTTTCATATTTTTAATTTTGTAATTTCTGCATGCCATCTTACCAGATTTAAACTGATGACCTATAATCCGGAATTGCGGAAGTCCCGACGAGTCCGGATTAACGACTTTTGACTGTATTAGAATTGTTACCCTCACTTGCTCTACAACCTTTTTTTTAAATGGCAGATTTCTGCAATTCTTATCAAACATAACTTCTGCTCTTTGCCAAAACTCTCAAAAAACTAAAACTGTAGTATAATGAAAACAGACTGAAACTTCTCTGTTAATTAGGAGGCACTTAGCACCAAACATAAATGTTGGTGCAAAATCTAACTAAATGATGGTAACCACCTAATAATACATAAAATTCCATTAAAAAAATTAACTTGTAATAACAATAAAGTTTCATATAATGTAATATATATGTACGATAAAAAATATGCTAATCAAAATTATAATTTACACTAACAGTAAAACATTAATTCTTCCTCTCTATTCTAAAAGTCGCAATAACTTCTCTGGATTGCGTTATTTCTAGATCATTCTATGGCCTGCGCAGCTCTGATGATGTAATAATTGGGAACTGAAACTACCATTGTAAACCAAAACTGTTCTCTTCGTGTGCTTCCATCTTTTATAACTACGTACTTCAGCTTCTGTCTCATCTTTGCTTGGACATAATTTCGCTATGCTGCTTGCTATTTCAAAAAGATCAATAACGTAAATGTTCTTGAACAGGCACGACTAGGGTGCCAAGTGATCTGTGGCAACATAATGTCAGTTGGAAAATGAAACACCTCGACTGCCAAGTTTTATTTACAAAGTCAACACATTAGCTTAAGACACAATCAGAATATTTCCTCTTCAATATAGGATAACTACACATCAACAGTGCTCCATCTTTTTCTTGCTGATATTATATCAGTTAGTTGGTCAGGATAGTTTCCTGCAGCCTGAGACTTCAATGGAAAATTTAGTTCAGCTCTTCAAATCATCGTTTGGTGATAAATCTAAGATAATGTGAAAGAAATGAATCATCAAATTTGTTTTTTCAGTGTTTAAAAAATAACCAATCATCATTCTGCTGTGGTGTTTTGCAAGTGCTTCAAAAAAATAATCGCGTGTAGCGTTTACAGATTGAAAGTAATCTCTTGATAAATTGAGAAGTTCGAATGTCTAGTGAAAAGGAATATTGAATTTGCTTCGGCCATCTCTATAGTATTTAGAGAAAATAAAGTGCTGTGAGTATGCTTTATCAGTCAATTACCATTTAGGAGATTCAGCATTACAGTGTGTTCAAGGTCCCTAATCTGAGTTTGAAATTTGCAAGTATGTGCGACAGAAAATTATTTGCGCTTCCGCTTTTTCAACAGCTCAAAAATTGCTACATTCCGGTGAATCTAACTCAGGGAAAAAATTATTTAATATGCTGCGGATTCTATACTTTACATTTCAATTTTGCTCAAAATTTCTGCAATTTGATTATGCTGTTTTGCAAAAATGTGAAATACTTGTTCATTAATTTTTCTAATTTAATAGGTATGTGTGAGCAAATTAAGTAACGAATTTTAAGCTATTTAAATTATTCATAGGGAAGGATATTAAGGTATCAATGTGTCGAATTTATGTTGAAAATTTTGAATTGTTGATGAGAATTGATGAAATAATTATGAAAAAATTAGTAGAAAATATGATAAACAAATAGTGTTGTTCTTGAGTGGTATTATAAAATTATGTTAACTGATTAAAAAATGTACGGTTCATACTATGTTTGGATAAACTTTTGAAGGCTCCCACTTTTATTTTTTTAATATAATAATTTTTATTTTTTTTAATATAATGGAGTGTGGTAATTTTTTTTTTTTTTTTTTTTTTTTTTTTTTTTAATAAATGGGGTGTTGTAATGCAGTTTGCAAAGGCCAGTTACCATATAAAAGAAACATAGGCCTTTCCAATTAACTACCCAAACAGCTGGAAGTGTGTACTAGGAGAAAGCTGTGGGGTCTTCCAGCTTGTACAAAATAAGTCAATTACAAACTTCAATAATAATAGTATATTATTTGATATGAAAATTTAATTACATTATAAAATTTTGAAATTTTTGCACTTTTGTAATGTTAATTAATGGATGTGTTTGAAATTTTTGTATTTGAAAAATTTTCAAAAACCTTTCCTAAATAGATATAATTATGAAATTCATTTCCTTATTTTATATTCACAAAATTATGTGATCCATATTATTATTGTAGGGCAGCGTAGGATTTAATATATCTTTAATTTTGCATCTTTGTATATTTTTTCCCATTTCAATTAATTAGATTGAAGATTTTTTATAGTTATAAACTTTGATAATTATACAATACTAGAGGACAGTTACCTTTATTAAGGAATGGAGGTTTCTATGTGTAATTAATTGTATTTAAAGCATCCCACAGCCATCAGCAAGTTGTCACGCTGATTTGCATTGTAGAGGATTTGCCTGTTGTTATCAAAGTTTATATTGTTATTGTACTGAATTTTTTATTTACTATGTATTAAGTTCTAAATTCCATTTTACATTGCCTTACAATTATGAAAATGTGAATTATTTTATAAATAATTAATTCAAATTTCATGAATCTGTAACAGAAAATTTTTGTTTTATATTGGTAACATCAGTTTTTATGAAAGACTTTTAAGCTAACGACTGCAAAATATTGTGATTATGATATTCAAGGAAAGATTTTACAGAACTGTGAACTTTTCCAGTATTTCTTGAAAAACTTAAAACATTCCTTACAGTGTTTTTACAGTTAAAGACTTTAAACTTCAATAGAATTTTCAATTTGAATTTCTTATTTAAAATGATATCTGTAAGGTTTTATACTTTAAAAAATTATTTATATCAAAATTTTGTGATTTTTTTCTCACTGTTGTATTTATCTAGTTTTGCTAATTTTGTAATGCTTTCTTCTAAAGAGGCTTTTCTGTCGCCATGCCTTTCTTCTCTTTGAATGGGGAAGGGGGGGGAATATGTAAGATAAAAAATATGTGAATCAAAATTATAATTTAAACTAAAAGTAAAACATTGATTCTCCCATTAGATTAGTTGTAAAATAATGTTGCATTATTTTAAATGACGCTAATCTTCTATTACTAACTATAAAACCCCAACATTAGGACATTCTGCTTTCTTTAGATGAGAGGCATTTAATAACTTCTAAACCTAATAAAGCCCAGGCATGAATCAATATTTATGGCATGACAAACATGGTGAAATGATTACATCATCCTCTCAAAGTATAAAAATGAAAATGCACATAGGTGTTATTCGATTTCTGAGAAGTTGTTAATTATTATTAGTCAGCAATGCTAGTCTGTTAATAATGAAAATACCAAACACAGTTCAGTGACTTAGTTCTACGAAGGGGGAAAAAGCATACTACCAACAAATATTCATAGCCGCAGTTTGTAAAAACACAGACTTTCTTATGTTAGCATCAAAATGTGAGCTGTGAAGTTTAGACATGAATGTTGGGATGTTAAGCTGCAAGAATTTTTTTAAATATATAACTATAAGTTCAGTAATATCGGTAACTTTCCAAAAATTTTCCTAATGTCCACACACAACAAAAATACTGATTAACATATGTGATGTCACACATAATATAAAAATTTGTAGTACTTTCGGATTATTCATACCTCCATGGAAAAGCTGCAAATTCATTGGAGACTCGGTTTCAAAGTGGTAGAGCACCAACAATTCCATACAAGAGCAAAGCAATCAATAAAATTTAAAAATTTTTAAATTCCATAATAAAACACTTTTTTGAGATATCATTTGGTACTCTTCTGTTATCGGGACCAGATTTAGAACTGTATGCATGTATGCAGATGTGTATGGATGTATGTGCATATATGTACACACACGGACATACAAGGGTTGGAACTTTAATAGTGGCAACACAGCTGAAAAAACGCTACGCAGCAAAACCAAAGAATATTGCGTATACCACAC